CACTCTGTCTGTTTTTTAAGTCCTCCACTAATCAGTACTTAAGAAGCAGGTTAGAAAGTATCCTCTATGACACACTTCTTCACCTTCTATGCTCAGTGCTGTCCCCAGCCCATTTTAATACACTAGAATACAACTTTCTGGGCTGTGATCTGGCTTATGTGTTGTGTAGAGTTGCCTTGGTAGGAAAAGTCTGAGTTAACCAAGTTCCTCAGCGCTACCAAGCTCTTAAGTTGGTTAAATTTGTTAGCATCATGAACTGAATCTCCAAATAAAGATAAATGCTTCAGAAAGGAATTAGAGACCGTTTGACAAGAAAAGGATCTTGGGACTCACTATTTCATATCTTCATTATATGGATGAGTCCCTAACGCCCATAGAAGAACAGTGGCTGCTATTTCTTGGACATCTATGTGTTTGACATAAATTTTCATTCAGTATAGATAGTAACTGGCAAGGATGGAGCTGATTTCCTAATATTACATATTAAAAAATTGGGGCCAATTACTCAAAGTTATACAGGTAGTAAGCGGGAGAGGCAAGATTTGACTGTAGGTCAGACTCCCAAGTCACTCTCTTCCACTCCTCATCCTAGGGAAGATGTCACATGCCCCCAGGTAACATATTTAATATCTCACAACTAAGAGGACTCAATTTTATCTTTAATAAAGACTCAAACCCCTGATCTCTTCCTTAATCTTTAATGTCATCTTCTCTTTGTTAGGGTTTTGTTTTGTTGGGTATTGGGGGGGGGGAGTAATACAGTCACCCTTGGGTTTTAAGATTTCTTAATCAGTGGTGGTTATTATTTTTTCCTTACTATTACTTATTCAGTTTTGTCAGAAAAATATCAGGAATCCAGTGGAAAACTGGGCAAACATATAAAATAGCAAATTACACAAAGGAAATGAGAAGAGCACAGTAACACATGGGATAACTAGGCAGTCTAACTAGTGATTAAATAAATACAAATAACTGTTAAAGTAGTTATTTTTCCCTTCAACTTAATGACTCCCCGTGCTGGGGAGGTTGTGGTAAGATGATTCTCTGCAGACGGTGGTTTTAGTTGGGGCAACCTTTGCAAAGCATTTTGCCATACCTACCAGGAGCCATAAAAATAGCATTCAACCTTATACTTAGGTTCCTGGAAATCATCCAAAGAAACAATTGAACAGGGGTGAAAAAAAAAAACCCTAGATGCATAAAAATGTTCATTGCAGTGTTGTCTATAATTTTTTAAAATAAAGAAACTAAATATTTAACAAAAGAACTGGTTGATAGATATTATTATATTGACTCAGCATACAGTACTATGTAACCATTTTAAATGGTAATTCGCAGGAGTGTGGGGTAGTATGGAAATGTTTATGCTATGACACAAGCTAAAAGAAAGGAGGATACAAAATTGCATATTATAAGGCACCAGTGAAAATGTATTATGCATACCAACAAAACTGGAATGTAGAGTACAAAAATAAAAATGCTCTTCTAGTTCAAGGGAATGGTGGGTAATTTTTTCCTTTTTTCAGTTTTCTTTCATGTAGATGTTACATTGCCTTTAGTGTTTAAAGGAATGAGGTAAGACGAATGGTACGGGGAGTTCAAGCTCTGAATTGAGAGTTAAAGAACCTACATCTTCTTTTCTCCTCCAGCATCACATGCATTATTGGCCTTCATATACCTCAGTTTCTCAGCCTGCACAATGGGTTAACATTAGTTTCCTGGACCCCAGACTGACAGAATGTTTATTTTATACAGCTTTTAACTCACTGATTTCAAGAGTTCAATGTATATGTGGTCCTGGGAGAATGAGAGGAGGGAGGGAGAGGAAAAGATAAATAGGCACTAATTAATTTTAAAAGGAAAGATCATCTGCTTTAATCGGAAATGCATATGTGCTGTGCCCCTAGTCAGAGTTTTAAGTGCACTCCGTGTTAGTTAGCAACTTCAATTTAAAGTACTGTGTGATCCTTTGGGCTTTGAAGATATGAAGCCTATATACATACACATGAGCTAAAATTACCACGCGGTCACGGAGGCTGTGTGCACTCTGAATAATTAAATGCACTAAGCAACTCCAGCTGATGGATTGATGATGTGTAAGAGCAGTGCAAAAACCACGTGACAAGGGAAATTACAAGACATTTAGAAGTGATGGTTTCACTTCCACGCTTTCTTTTCTACTTGTGCTTCTCTTTCAGCCATTACAGGCTAGTAGAAGAGATTTGATTATCTTGTTTCCTGTGAAAGGTTATTTAGCCCCTCAATCCCATTAAGCCACTCTCTGCACTCCAGTGCACTGAGACTCCACCAGGTTATCAGCCCAGGAAGAGTAAATGGAGATACCAGGATCAGATTTCTAAAGGAAGGAAAGTTAAAGCAAAGTTTGAAAGCGGTGACAGCCAACAGCCAGGAGCTTAGAACTCAATTAGACTGAAAGACAACTATCTCATTATCTCATTCCGAAATGATCTAAATACATAAGAATCTAAAAGTTTTTAAATAAACTTGTCCTACTGACTGTCTAGATGACTGAATTTCCCTTCTCAAAAATTTTTTAAACACTAACTTTTATATTTATTTATTCTAAGCGCAAAGCAGCTGCGATAATTATGCTGTCAGATTCAGTAAGCTAATGAGCAGTCAGCGAATGGAAGGTTTTGCATTTGTGAGATTGCTACAGGAGAACCACTCAGCTGCTTTTTTCCTTCTTTCTTTTTTTCTTCCCTCTTGTTTTCTTTTTCTTTTTCTATGAGTTAGGAAGGAGAGTCGGGCAGTCCATGGCCAAATTGGAATCCCTTTGATTAGCTGGTTGCTTTCCCAGCACTGTTCTGCCACACGTGTTCCCCCCCTCCCCGCCTCTGTCATCCTCCTCCCCGGCTCCTCCCTCCCTCTCTGTCTCTCTCTTCCTCTCTCTCCCTCCCTCCCTCTTTTCCCGCTCTCTCTCGCCCATCTCCCTCACTGCTGCTGGGGAACTGTTGCTTTTAAGGGACATTTTCATGTCACTGTCCCCAAGGCAAGAGGATGTATCTCCCTGAGGGAAGTTCCCAAAATGGTTTGGACTTGAGACAATTTGAGAGTTACCTGTAGAGTTTAATATGCACTGCTTATTTGAACTGTTTGTTTATGCTACAACAGGAGCTAAAAAGAAAGTAGAATGCAAAATTGCACATTATAATGTACCTGGGAATATACATTATGCATATCAACAAGACTTGATGCCTCCCCTTTTCAGTCTAGCAAATATGTAATTCCAAACCCAAGGAGTCAGGGTTTACCCCAGGCAGCCAAGTCAGAGCAGGTTTATTTCTCCCCTTTTGGTGTGAGGAGCTTCCAGCAAACAATATTGATGCATTTTATGCTTGTGATGCACCAGAGCTGGGGCTTCTCTATTTGTGAAATTGTGCAGTATTTAGAGCAACCGGTTTGTGCAGCTTGTGAGCCTTGAAAAACTGGTGCCCAGGTAGAAAGATGTCCTGAGCAGGTTTTATCGATGTGCTTTCATGACAATGCGGCTGTTGTTCCTGGATGTTTTTCTCAGCAGGTATCTGTGCTGATGCCCTTAGCTAATGACAGTGGCTAGTTAACTAGTTAATAACAGTGGCTACTAGTTATTAAAAATGTATGGTGTGGGACTTACTTGGTTGTCCAGTGATTAAGACTCCATGCTTCCACTGCAGGGAACCCAGGTTTCATCCCTGGTCAGGGAGCTAAGATGCCACAAGCAGCAAGGTATAGCATGTGAATCTTATTTCACCACTCTGGAAACCCCAATAAAAACTATAATAAAGGAATTTAATTAAATTAATTATATATATAAATGGGCTTCCCAGTGGTCTTAGTGGTAAAGGACCCACCTGCCAATGCAGAAAGACGCAGGAGACATGGGTTCCATCCCTGGGTTAGGAAGACTTCCTGGAGGAGGGCATGGCGACCCACTCCAGTATTCATGCCTGGAGAATCCCATGGATGGAGGAGCCTGGTGGGCTACAGTACTTAGGGTCACAAAGAGTTGGACATGCCTGAAGTGACTTAGCGTACACACACACACACACACACACACACAGTATCAGAACAACCCAAGATGTTTGGCATGTATTATCTTCTTTAAACTTACAGCAATCTGCCCATAAGTTTTATTATCCCCATTTTGCAGGTGAGCCCCTTAAAATGTTAACTTTTAGAGAACTTGGCCCATATCTTTAGCATAATAAGCATCCAGGAATAATACCCATTTAACAAACAAACAAATAATACCCATTTAACCCATTTATAAAAATGTAAACTGCCAGCATTCTGAGCTAACCAAATGGATAATATACATATATTCTGCCCCCCCATTTTTTAATTTACAAAAGTTGCACTTTATTTTTTTTTTTTTATGTTAACCAGACCACTGATGACCAATCTGAAGATGACTGTACTATTTCTGCATGTAACCCCCCTACCACTTTGTCTATAAAACTCTCACCCCCTGCTTATCATGGGGGGTGAAAATTGGCCTTTGGACAATGTCTGCCATTGTCCCTGCCAGTTGCCGGCATATGATACAAAAGTTGCACTTTAGAGTCTATTTAAATAGATTGCCAAATGAATCTAATGTAACTGAAATTTGAAACTTTCCAAAAGGTATCTGACCTAGCACTACACTCACTGCCTGTTGTCACTGGGACTCCTCGGCTTGATTTTGGCCCTTGTTGTTGATGTGTGTGTGCCTTCCAGTTCTAGTCCTATTTTTACCACCTTCAACACCAGGCCTAATGCCTCACCCAAGTGTTCGTTTGGTAAACAGGCATTGAAATGAATTGAATCGAACATAAGGCACTTAACAGCTATTTAGTAAAGTGAGCTACCCATGAGTCAGTATAAGTTATTGGTGGATAAATCCGGCTCACATTTTGACATCTTTTGGGGTGACAAATATTACAACAGACATAAAAAAACACACCGTGAAAGATCCCAGGAAATAATATGTTGGTGCTGGTCTCTTTTGTTCCCTACAGAGGAATCTTTGTTTACAGTTTCAGGAGTGAGGCTGAAGCCAGAAATGTGTGACCTTTTGGCCTCCTACCGGAAAGGTCACCACCCAGCCGGGTTTAGCAAATGCTGGTAAAAAGAAAGGGCAAGATTACCAAGATCTTCCAGGTAAGTGGCTCCAACAGTGTGGGTCCTTATGGATGGAACTGAAAGTTACTCACTATCCAGTGAAGCCCTGGTTCCTGGGTTCAGAGACGTCTGTCCTGTGCCTGGCTCTTCATTCTCCCTCTGGGCACAGAGGCCTAGGCTCCACAGGCTGTGAGAGGAGGTGGCATCAGCGTGCATCAGCTCCCCCTCTCAGGGGAGGGACAAGACTCCTTAGATGACCCTTACATGTCATTGTAAGGCCTTGAGCAGATGCACTGGAATACAGGACTCCAATGGCATGTGAAGTTCCCTTAACTATGTGATTCTCACTGACAGCCGAAAAGACAAAAATCAGAGGTCAGGGTGACCAGCTGTCCCCATTTGCTCGAGACCAAGGGGTGCCCCAGGATGTGGGATGTTCAGTGCTAAAATTGACACAGTCCTGGATAAAGCAGGATGGTTGGTCGGTGCAAATTACCACCTGGCTTGCCCCCAGGTGCCAGAGAAGACCTGACTCAGAGTCTAGCCCCACCTAGGAGGTGGTTTTGGAGGATTGTGAAAACCCAGTCATCACCGCTACAGGCTTTTGCACCATTGGTTACAGAGTGTCCTCTCCAGCGTGCACTCGGAACCACCAGGACCTGATGGTCCTGGGAGACAGGAGCCATCCACGAATGTCACAGACTCGGCTGCTCTCAGGAGTCTCCTCCATCAGCCCGGGGAAGCCCAGGCTTCCAAGGCGATCCTGAGGGGGAAGGGTGCTGTGGAGGTTTTTCCCAAAGCTTCCAAACCCTAGAGTTCTGCTGGCAGGCACAGGAAGCCAGGAGGGACAACTCCTAAAGCCACCATAGTGCAGCATTCGTAGATCTTATAAGAGCATTTCCATGGCGAGTAGAGGGGACAGTCATCCAGACAGAGGAGTCCAGGTGAGACCCACGCGCAGAGCCAGCCGTCCCTGTAGGTGACTCTGGCTGTATCCCAGACCGCAAACACGCCTAAGGGTTGGTCATACTTCAGCCAACTACAGCTTGTCATGCTTCCCAGCAGAACTTTTGGGGTCTAGATGGCAACGACTGGCACGCTCCCTGCACCACCCTCGCCCCAACGTCATTCACATAGCAGGATTCAGTTCTTTGCCAGTTTCTTCTGTTAGAGACATATACACATCAAGAATGTCTGCCTCTTGGATTTTCTAAGATCATTGTGTTTAGAACTTTGGGGAGATTAGGGAAGTTTAGAATTATAGTTCCTCCTCAGCTATAATTCTGAAGTTTATACTTTGACAATATACAACTGGAATTACAATGGACAATACAATAATAATATGGTATTTCCCAAGTAAAATATTTTCTAGAGCAGAGATTTTGCTATGTAATTATGCCATTTTTAAACCCACTAGTTATGAGAGTAGGATATTCTTTAGCTACATTCTATAACATGAAGGATTTGCCCTTGACAAAATTATCAAAGACATTAATGGAAACGGTCTTGGATGGTAGTGTTGCCTAAGAATTAATAATTATTTCTATTGAGTTGTTATTTTGTTTTACTAAGCAGCCAGAAGGCAGGGAGACTACCTGCCTCTCTGAACTACAGTCAAAGAATCGTTACCTGTAGGTAAAAATTGGTCACAATAGAAAATCAATTAAAAGCAGCATGACAAACGTGATGCCTATGCCAGCAATTGAAGAAGGGAGAAGGCACAGTGAGTGTGCACTGGAGTAATCTGATGTCCCTGGGCCTTCGGTACTAATGGAAGGAGATAAACCCGCAGGAGATGAACCCAATAAGAAAAAGCTGCAGCAATTAAACTGTTTAATAAATGGCTTGGGATGATCAAAATCTGGGAGTGCCAGAGTAGGGGACTAAAAGTGGTTATCACATGGACACTTGGGGCCTGTAAATCTTTTCCACTAAATTGAATTTATGTTAAAATATTCACTTTTCAGGAGATTCAAAATGTAAATTGGGATATTAGGACTTATAACTAGCAGCAATGCCTGAAAATTAAGACTCTGAAAAGATCCTCAAAATGTCAGTTTCAGGTATGGAAAAAATGTACACTAACATCTACAATAGAGAAATGGGACTAAAATTTACTGGGTACATAACATGTGCCAAGCACTTTACAAATAGTGTTTCAAAACTTGGTGTGTTTTGAACAGTTAGGGTGTGGTGAGGTATAACTATAGTTGGTACATTTGGAGATAAATTTTGATTATTTTAACAGGCTTCTTAGGGAAAGCTTTCTTAATTCTTATTACTAGGATAAGATGTTACCTCTGTTCATATCTATTATCAAGGTTTCTAGCAATATCTATGTAATTCCATCAACTTTGCAATAATATTGCACAGAATTTCCCCACTCAATCTGTAAGATGTTACTCATTATTTTCATTTTTTTATTCTTCATTCACTTCCAGGGCTATTTTACTGTTGCTTCAGTTTTAATTTGCTTCAGCTTACTAAGAAGCTTCAAATCTAATTCCACACTGGACCAAGGGTTTTATACCATCACCTGTGATGTGGAACATTTTAAATACGATGTCCAAGGCAACAGCACATAGTCCTTGAAGAAAAAGCAGTGAACAGTTATTGCTATCGTCATTTGCCTAGAATTTAACAGTGATTGGCTCAAAAATTAGACATAGATGGAAATCATCTGAGAAGAGGACTTCTGAATAATTTCATCCATTTCATTATTTGTTAGAGAGATCCCTGGGCCAGAAGGAGAACAGGACAGATGGGGATAACAATTGAAAGACTTTGGAGACGGAGCTCATGCTTAACAGGGGCCTGTCACTCCTGTGTTCATTCACGATTTTCCCCAACAAAAGGACTTCTGTGGCCAGGGAGAGGATTAGGCTAAAGTTTAAAAAAGCCTCCAGGGAAGGTGGTTTCTTGGATAAAGTTGTCAACAAAAAAAGACTTGCTTAAGACTCTTTGTTATGACTTCCTAGGGGTCACCTCTTCCTTTGCTAACTGGATTATCAAAACACATTACCCCTCCATCCCAGCCAGACTTCAGTAGGAGTTTGGATTGAGCTGCTGGTTAGAATTAAATTTCAGGCTGTCCTCTTCTACTGAACTCTATTGTCTGTGATGACAGCAAAAGTGATGAGGAATCTCAGCTCTGATTTGATGGCAGAGACACTGAATAGATAGATAAAGGCCAGGAGTTCCAAACTAGTAGTTCAAGTCCTATTGCACCATCAGACACACATGCATGTCTGCACACACATAAGCCTCAAATAAGATGAGAGATCTGTCTCAGCTAACATGTGTTTCATTTTCTACAATGGGTCCTTCTGAAAGAAGCTGGGGAAACTCAAATGACTTCATCTGAGGATCATCTACTCAGGAAATGTAGTAGCCTAGAAACCAAAGACCTCTATATGGCCTTTAGAAGAACAAGGAGGAACTAATTAAGAGAGAATTTAAAAATAGTACCTATGCACTCAAAGTCTGAGATGAAACTACATACAGATAGTCCAAATAAATCTTCCTTACTGAGTATTCGATTTTAGTAAGGCATTTAGCAAAGCCTGTTCAGATATACCTGAAAGAGGGAACTGTATTGAGGGTTGGATGAGGGCTGGATGATGGGGTGTGTGTACTCAAAGAACACACTCCTTGCTGGAGAAAGGCTTGCAGTGGTGTGGTATGAGGTTCAGCCCTGAGTTCTATTCTGTTCAAATGTTTTTATTAATAATTAATAATAAAATCAGAGAAGGCACACAACTTATTCATACAACTCATTAAAGTAAGTACTTTTGTCATTCATTTATTACTTCCATTTTACAGAAGAAGGAAACTGAGGCTCAGAGAAGTTAACTAACCCCTCCATAGTAGTACACCAGAGTTAAGGTACAGATCTTAGGCCTGGCTCTCTCCAAGGTCTATGATCTTTCCAGTCATCATATACCTATCAAATCTGTAGAACACACAACTCTCAAAGAAGCAGCTGATGTTTAGCATTGGATCATGATTCAAAAGCCTGAGATATTGCTAAAAGCTGATGTGTACACTACACATTCATTCTGGAATGAGAATGATCAAATTCCAGAACACTGACAGCATCAAATGCTGCCAGGGATGTGGAGCAACAGGAACTCTAATTATTGGTGGGAATGCGAAATGGTAGAGGCCACTTTAGAAGACTGTTGGGCAGTTTGTTACAAAACTAACCATACTCTTAGGATCCAGCAATCATGCTCCTTGCTATTTACCCAAAAGAGTTGAAAAATTATGTCCACAAAAAACCTGCATACAGATATTTATAGCAGCTTTATTCATAATCACTAAACCTTTGAAACAACCAAGATGTCATTTCACTTGAGGATCATCTACTCAGCAAATGTAGTTGCCTAGAAACCAAACACCTCTAGAAGGCCATATGCCGTTCAGTCACAACACATGAATGAGCAGACCGTGGTACATCCAGACAATAGAATATTATTCAACAGGAAAAAGAAATGGAGCTATCAAGTCATGAAAAGACATGGAAGAAGCTTAAATGAATATTACTAAGTGAAAGAAGCCAATCTGAAAAGGCTCCATAGTACATGATTACAACTGACAATCTGAAGAAGGCAAAACTAACTATAGAGACAGTAGAAAGATTGGTGGTTGCCAGGGGTTAGGAGAAAGGGAGTGATGAATAGGCGGAGCACAGAGAATTTTTAGGACCAGGTAACTACATATGATACCATCATGGTGGATACATGTCATTGATTATAAATTTGTCCAAACCCATAGAATATCACCAAGACTGAATACTAATGTGAAACAGACTTTAGATGACAGTGATGAATCTATGCAGGTTCATACAGTGTGACATATGTAGCATTCTGGGGGGGATGTTGATAATGGGGGAGGCTGTGCATGTGTGGGGGCAGGGTGTATACAGGAAATCTGTAACTTCTGTTGACTATTCCTCCAAGCCTAAAGTTGCTCTGAAGAAAAAATATTAAAAAAAATTTTTTTAAA